AAATTCATCAAAGTATTTAATGATGAAAGACTAAATGAGATATACTGTGAGATGTATTACAGCAAGTTAAGTGTACAGTATATAATTTCTGCTACTAGGATTTTAGATTTTTGTTATCAGACATCTGAGTCTACTTAAGATCCAGATGTGACAACATCTGGATCTTGTCTGACAACTAAAATCCTTCATCCACTTTAAATATAGAGTTAAAAATGTAATACATTAAAAATGTATCTAAAAAGTGTGTCATAACAATGTCGCTTATAACCAAATAAAAAGTACATTTATGCTTCTGGCAGCCAACAACAATGCTGACAGATGTGCAAAGGAGATACCAGTTATACACATTTCTCTGTGTTGGAACATAGCTGGAAATGTAAGTACACAACTCACAACCAAAAAAAAAAACACAACAACAATAAACAAAACATAGGTCTAGGGTTTTAGACACCTTAAAGCAGGAAATGTGCATACTATATCTTAGACCCTTTCATTATGACATATGAGAGCAGGAAAAGCTCAAATAAAAATCAACCATGGCTCCAGTCCATTAAGTGGGCGGTAAGGAAGACAGTGAGTGGGCTGGTACAATATCAGAGCCCTGGAACTGGCTCACCTAAATGGGATGCAGCCAGCATTATTGCTATGACAAGTCAAAGTGACAGCCGTGGAAAGAGTATTGTGTTCCCTTTGTGTTAGCAGAGAATGCTGGTAGGACAGATACTGGTGGTTATGGATTCTTTTCAACCAGCCACCCTGTTTAAATGTCTCAGAATAAATCTACAAAGCAGCACAGTGTAGCTCAATGGGTTCCTCACCTGTTCAGGTGTGGTTGTGTTGAGCAGGAGGACCAGGCTGTCCCGCTCCGAGTGAACCCGCATGAACTGCAGCAGGATGCGGTCTATCCCCATCCCCTCCGCCGCCACCAGCAGCCCGTCACTGCCGAACACACTCAGAAACATCTCCGTCTCAAACTCCAGCAGCGGGTCCGCCATGTTGGAGCCGCAGAAGACCCCAAAGCACTCTACGTGTTCTCTCACGCCCAGTGATAAATGTCAGCTAAAAGCGACTGAAATCATTGTGAGACAGAGTGAACAAGGCTGCTGGCGCCTGTGCTTCAATGTTTTGAAACTGCACGTCCGGTCACGTGACACTAAAAAAAACAAAAAAACAAACGAGGCCGTGTTATTGAGAGTGACATAAAGGGCAGAGCGCCATCTAGTGACATGGAGGATTGTAGCAGGTAAAAACTGTTGTAAGTCCCCCTCCACTCATAAATATGTGTTTCTTCTTGTTTCTACAGTTGGATGTTTGAATGATGTTTGTGCAGAGTCTGACACTAGAAG